AGACAAGGGAATAGGGAAAAGGATGAAAAGGATGGGGAGGGGGGAGGTGAAGGACAAGACAAGGGAATAGGGAAAAGGATGAAAAGGATGGGGAGGGGGGAGGTGAAGGACAAGACAAGGGAATAGGGAAAAGGATGAAAAGGATGGGGAGGGGGGAGGGGGGAGGTGAAGGGCAGGGCAAGGAAAAATCTGGTTACGGCTGCTTGCTTGTTTGTTTTTATGTTCTTGTTTGTTTTTTTGCTTTTATTGGTTTGTTTGTTTTTTATGTTTTGTTTTTTTTCGTTGCTTTAGATCGTTTGCAAGTTTTAGTAAGAGCTGTACGGCACTTGCACCACAAAAGGTCTTTAAAGTGGTGGAGCATGGGAAAGGCAGAGATTACCAATCAATAATAATATGTTTTTGTTTATGTTTTTGTTTTAGTGATAGTTTTATGTCACTTGCAACACAATAAGGTTATATCTGTGCCGAAGATTACAGGTGTTACTAGAGAGTAATATACAAAGAAAAGAAGTAGGTCAGAAGAGGGCGATAAGTGTTTTGTTTTGTTTTAGTAGAGATTTTACGGCGCTTGATACTGCATAAGGTCATATGAGCGTCAAGGGGTGGAAGTCAACAGAGAAGTCTTTACAGGGAACCAGGCTTACTCTGCTGTGCATAAAAACATATTAATGTCCCCCCTTTGGGAAAGGCCTAAAGACACTTCAGTCAGTAGCACCGTCCCAGGGGGTTAACAGGAATAAAAATAAAAATAAATGAAATGAAACGCTCCTATCAACACTATTAGGTTACTTTTTTGGGGTTTTAGTAGAGGTTTTACGGCGGGGCCCCCTAGTGCAACATCCGTCTCCGAAAGAACCAAACCAAGTGGGAAATTCGTGTAAAATGCCTTTCCCAAGGACACAAGGTCGGACTGAGCTGAGGCTCCAATTCTCGAATCCGCTGTCTCACGATTACGAGTCCGGTAGCCTAACCACTAGAAAGACAACAACAACAACAACAACAACAACAACAACAACAACAACAACAACAGCAACAACAACAGCAACAACAGCAACAACAACAGCAACAACAACAGCAACAACAACAACAACAATAACAACAGGGTAGGGACTGGATAGGGAGAGGGCAAAAATGAACAACTCTACGGTAAATGACAAGGTAGGGATGACTTATGGGAAAGGGGGGAGGCAGAGCGCGCAAGAAACCGGAAATAGACAATCAGTCAAGGGCTGAAGGGGGTGGGGGAGGGGCAAAGGAACGAGGCATTATGAGAAAAACATTATTGAAAAAAATATATATCTAGTCACGGGGGTAGAGGAGTGGGTTAGAGGAAGGAGCTCAGAGAGAGATATATAAAAGTAACCGGAAATAGACCTAAGGTCACTCACACGGGAGGTGAGGGGGTCGCAGAGAGGTAGAGGTGGGAGAGGGGCAGAAGGGTGGGAGGGGCATAGGAGTGGAGGATGGACGGGGGTGGGAGAGGGTGCAGGTGGGAGGGGTAGAGGGATGGGAAGGGCATAGGGGTGGGGGGGGGG